GTGTGTGATGTGTGTGTGTGTGTGTGTGTGTGTGTGTGTGTGTGTGTGGTGTGTGTGTGTGTGTGTGTGTGTGTGTGTGTGTGTGTGTGTGTGTGTGTGTTGGGCTGTGCAGGCCATGTTAGACGCAGCTCGATCTGTCAGACCCGACCTGTATGTGATAGCTGAGCTGTTCACAGGCAGCGAGCTCATTGACAATGTGTTTGTGAACCGGCTGGGAATTAGCAGCCTTGTACGAGGTACAATACTCTGCACCAACTCACAGTGTTTTATCTCTGTCTCCTTTAACTCCATTCTTCCTCATCACACCTCCTCTCCTCCTCTCCCACTCCTGCACTGTGTGACTGCATGCTGTGCTCTCTGACTCACTGGCTGCATTCCCTTCACATATCTCTCCTCCACACTGTGTTTTCTCCTCCACTTTCACCACCACTCTCCATCTTCTCCCTAACTCTCTTTCCTCTCCTCCTACTTTTCTCTCTCATCCCTTTCTCTCCTTCCTCCTCTTTTTTGTTCCATCTTCCCTTCCTCCCACCCTCCTCCGTTTTCCTCCCTGTCCATTCCCCCTTTCTCCTCCTCACTCTGTCCATATTTTCTTCACTATCTCTCCTTTCTCCGCCTTCACCTTATTCTCTGTCCACCTCCTCTGTCTCTCCTCCTTTCAATCTATCATCTCCCTTTTCTCTTTGCATCTTCCCTATCTCTCCCCCTCTCTCATCCTTTTGCCCTTCTGTCCTCCGCTCCCTCCTTTTCTGACCATCTCCTCCCTATTTCTCCTTCTTTCTCCTGCTCCCCACCCCTTTACCTCTCTCGTCCTCAATCTCTGCCCATATCCTTCTCCTATATTTGCTCCTTCTCTTCTGTCCATCTCCTCCCTATCTCTTCTTCTCTCTTTCCCCTCTTCTGTATATCTCCTCTTCCTCCATTTTCCTTCCTCCTCCTCGCCCTTCACCTCTGTATGCTGTGTGTTGCTGTGTGTGATCAGTTCCTGCTGGACGCTGCCCGGACAGTGTGTCCTAACCTGTATGTGGTGGCTGAGCTGTTCACTGGCAGTGAGGAGCTGGATAATGTCTTCGTCACCAAGCTAGGGATCTCATCGCTCATACGAGGTACACGTCCACAATCACCACACTACATGCCCTTATATGCAAAGTGTATTTAATAATAATGACAAAGTTGACAGTTTGTGTATTTATGCTGCTTTATGTTACATGCAGTACAAATAACGTGAGACAAAGCCCGTTCAAAAAAAGGTGAAAGTGAAGGCTGTCATCCATGTACTCCTGAAAGCACCATCACAACTCTCACTTACTGAGTGGTTTTGCCTCCAATTTGTCACAAATTGTGACAAAGTGCAAACAAAGCGGTGCAGGAATCAGTCTTAAAACCCAGAAATGAGTTCATCATTTACCGCTTCTGGTTCCTTTGTCTCAAGTCATCGTTGTTTTGAACGTGTTTTTGGTTACACAGCTAAAATAAGGTCTAAGCTAAAGAGATTTCATGTTTTGCTCTATAAACTATGTCATTAAATACCCCGCTGGTGAATGTCTGAAGCTTCTATTTTTCATAAAAACGGTGTCTAAATAAACTACTCAACGTCATCACGCCGAACATTTGCCACCTTTAGCTTAGCAGTAATGATTTACGGCCATGTGGCCGTGATGTAGTTTGTTTATAGCCTAATGTTAGCTTTTTACTTCTGGGGATTGCATTTACTCTTTAAAATCCCTAAGTGGTGTTAATATGTGGGGATAATCCTGCCGAACAAAACGTAGGTACGTAAGATAAACGTGTGTTTGCCACAGATCTTATTTCCTGCAATATTCCGAAATCCAATGGAAAGATCCAACTGGCTTTTAGTTGAGGGAGCCCTTAGGATGCTAACTTCAGGGTTGCACTACAAAAACACGTCATCACTGCACGACTCTATACCAACAAATTCTCCACTGCACCAATAGTGTGAGTAATGCCGGAAATAGAAAAATGAAAAAAAACATTTATAGGAAAAAGGGAGTATTCTTGTCATGATTGTAAGCTTAGCCTTGGTGAGCATGTGTCCTTAATGTGAGCCTGTGTTGAACTGCAGTGCCTGTGAACCTGCATGTGTTGTGAAAGCTGTCCCTCCCTGTCCACAGAGGCCATGTCAGCCGGGGACAGCCATGAGCAGGGCCGGCTGGTCCACCGCTACGGGGGAGAGCCGGTCGGGGCCTTTGTTCAGCCCAGCCTCCGCCCACTCATGCCCTCCATTGCACACGCCATGTTCCTTGATGTTACCCATGACAACGAGTGTCCCATACAGGTGGGTCCCTGGGTTTGGTCTGAAGATGTTAATAACCATTTGCTTTAGTAGGCACAATGCATTCTGTGTTTAAAGGTGTGTACATTGATGTTTGTGTGTTACAGCTGCGCTCAGCACTGGACTCCCTCCCCAGCTCAGCGATGGTGTCCATGGCCTGCTGTGCTACCGGCTCCACCAGAGGATATGATGAGTTAATGCCACATCAGGTGAGTTATTAGTAACTGTATTTATATCTTGTGTGAGACGAATTCCTCAATATCATCATATTCATGCAAATATATAAACAGGGTTAATGCTAGTTTATTTTCTCTTAAGTCATGACTTTTGTAGTTTGAACATCTCTATGTATACTGTAGCTAGAGTGTCATGTGTTTGTCGGTCAATGATTCGATTGTAAAAATCAGGATTTAACAAGTCTCCAACTTAACCAAACAAACATTTGAAAAAAAAGAAGTTTAGGTGTACGGGGGTCTGTAGATTACGCTAATCGTACACTCAACTATCACCTTCTATTATTCATTCTTGTTTGTGATTGTGTTAAAAAACTAAAAGCTGCAAGATTTATTTTTGATAGTTTAGCTTGGCTCACGCTGAAACAGCTGCTTATAATCGAAATAAACTGACAATCAATCAATAGCTAGCTAGAAAGAGTATTTTATTCTACTGTACAGTATTTCATTTTACATTCTGTTCATCTTATTCTATCCTTTATGAACATAGTTTACTCATTCCTGCTTTTTACTTGCACCACTGTATCACTTGCACTATTTTGTTTTTGCAGTATTTGACTTCCTATGTCTTAAGTATACTGTGTGTTGCACTGGAGGCCAGGACCGGGACTTCACATATTTTCATTGCCAACAACTATGGTGTAGATTTTGTGCATTAGACAATAAAACCTGAATCATGAGATTGCTTTATTGTATGTGTACAGGTGTGGATGCTCACACAATTTTTTAGCCCCATTCCACGGTTTACAAACAAATATTTACAAACAAATAAACTAAATGAATGTGAAACTCACCTCTGATCCCACTGCATAGAGTTTTATAATGTATCACAAACATGTACTGGATGTTACACACAGCTGCTCAACTTGCTACAGTGGAACAGAATTCATTCATTATAAGAAGTGTGTGTGTGTGTGTGTGTGTGTGTGTGTGTGTGTGTGTGTGTGTGTGTGTGTGTGTGTGTGTGTGTGTGTGTGTGTGTGTGTGTGTGTAGATCTCTGTTGTGAAGGAGGAGCGATTTTACCCCAAGTGGAACCCTTCAGCAGCCCCCTCCTCTGGCGGTGAGGTTGGACCTCAGACAGGCATCATAGCTGGGAAACTGGCCCTGAATAAGCTGCACCAGGAGCTGGCCTCACAAGGCTTCATCCAGGTATGAACCACTCTCAGAGCTCTGAGAGAGGGGAGAAAAATAGGGATTTTATTTATGCACAGTATATAGCATTTTATGGACTGGTAATAAAATAAAATGAAAAAATAGGTTAATTATATAAAAAGCAAATAGAAATGCTCTAGAGTCCAAGCATAATCTATTAAACAAATAACTTTTAACAAAAAATGCTGCCTGCTCCTCCAACCAAGAGCCACTGACTTCCTCTTCCAACCCCAGGAATGTATAACCAGTCCATAGCTGAATGCAGGAAGACATCTGTAACACATGGGTATGATTAAGGCGGTACTGGGCAGGTTCAGAACTGACCTCACAGTGTGGCTGTGACGCCTTGGACGTGACTAGTGGCACCATTAGGGGAAATCATTTGGGACTTTCAGAATGGCCCGATGACTAGGAAGAGAGACATTTTGGAAGATTATGGGTATTGTCCTCGACACCATCACAAACTGGATGTACACCTTTCACCCTAAACACCTACACCGAACACCAGGTGGCTGGACGCAGCTGCAGCAGAGAGGAGATTAACTTTCAGCCTGACAGGAAGGCACCCACACATTTCTCCAGATATAAGTTTGCCACACATAAGGAAAGGTTTAGTTACGAGCTTGCTAGGCATTAGCACTCAGGATTTACGTAGAGCCTGATATAGGTACATCCATAATGTGATGGAAATACAATGAGCAGAGACCTGGTAAACAACTGTCTAACTGATTCTTAGAATAGTCATAAACATATTTTGGCCTCTAATGAAAACAAGGCCTCCTTAAATAATTCCTACCGTGAAAGAACATTCTTCTAACAAAATATGCAACGTCTAATGTTTTAATATTAGAATATTGATATAGTAATATACATACTAATATATTATATATAATATACTAATATACTAATAGATAGGAATATACTCAAATAATACATGCTGCGGTAGAGCTCGGGTTCGAATTCGAGCCTAGGACCCTGTTAGAGCCACAATGAAGTCAACGTTATTATTTAGCTTCATAATTTGATAAATGAATTAATGATGGAAAAGGATTTATATTGCCATGGTGAATATCTTTTGATGAAATTATTGTTTATTTTAAATCGTAAATATGATCTGTTTCTTGTACCTTACGGTTTTTATTTAAGAGGTAATTGGGACAAGCCGCGGCTGCTCTGAGACCTGATGAGACGGGGAGCGGAACAGTTTTTCGACCGCGACCGCAAATTGTAAACAGAGATTGGTGTTGCAAATTTGACTGCAAAGTATAGTTTATATAGGAAAGTATATCGCCGAAATATTGATTTAGATTTGCTATTTTGAGACTATTTAAGTCAATACTTTTTTGTCAATGAATTACATTTTTTGACTGAAAACCTTCGGCTGCTTATTGCTTTGGATTGCGTGTCGTCAACCCCGCTCTATAGTGGCAAAAGGAAACCTTGGATGCCATTGCAGACCCTTTGCTGCAAGTCATCCCCTCTACCTCCTCCTTACACACTATCACTTCAATAAAGGAACGAGTACGAGTATTTATAAAAAAAAGAAAAAAAGGTTATACTTAACCCATAATTAACTTTGTATGTGTGTTGATATAATAAGGAAAAATTAAATGTGTATCATATCCATCGATCTCATCTGGTCCTGCAGGTGTTTGTGGACCAGGTGGATGCAGATGTTGTTGCAGTGACTCGCCACTGTCCCAGCACACACCAGTCTGTGGTGGCCGTGTGCAGGACGGCCTTCTGGAACCCACAAACACACAAATATGACACCAACATCCCACCCATGTTCATACCTGGTATGGAAATTACATTATCACCTGTCTATAACAAATCTCCAACTTGTATATCTAACTACGTTGTTGCATCTTTGTATGATAATCTATCCCCCTCTCTTTGTCTCTCTCTCTCTAGGAAAAATAGAGGAAGTGGTGCTGGAGGCCAGGACAGTGGAAAGGCATGCTGGGAGTTATAAGAAGGATGACAAATACATCAACGGCATGCCAGAGTACACTGTGGAAATAAAGGAGCATATATTGGTAAATATTGATCATTTTTGGAATCACTGTAATTCTGAGTATTATTGATATAAATGAGATCATTTAAACTATTATAACATTCAGTATATATATGTAGTTACAGGAGAGTACAGTGGTTAAGCAAGCTGGAGTGACTTCTAAAGGTATATCAGAGTTTATGGAGGAAATCACCTTTCAGAATTTGACACCTGGCAGCGTCATCGCCTTCAGGTAAACCTCAGCACTGAAGGGAAATAAGGACTGTGTATTTGCATCATCATTCAAACATTACAAGGCACATTTATCACTATTTCATTGTTTTTTGAAAGCTTTAACATTAGTTTGTTAGCAATGAAATCCTTTTTAATTCAAGGTTTTCTGTGTCTCTCCCTCTTTTCCTCACAGGGTTAGTTTGGACCCCAAGGCCCAGAAGCTGGTGGGGGTGCTGAGATTTTATCTGACTCAGTTCAGCCCAAAATACAGGAGAGGCAGTGTAGCAGATGAACACCTGCCAGAGATTCTGACCAAACCCCTGGCACAGTGAGTAAAATGTCCACACGTCACTCACTGTAAATATTTTCTTATGGTATGAACAGAGTAAGGTTAAACCCGCCTTAACTATCTTTCATAACTCTAACATTTGTTATGAAGGTTTAGAGGCAAACAGTGACTCAACTTCACATGTCAAACTTTGTCTACAGATGTTGTAGAGTTATGCACATGTGCCAAAGGTTGCATGAAGTCTTGAGTGTCTCAGAAACTCTGATTGAATTTCCTCAAGTGTCACTCGAGCTAGTGTCGGTTGGCTGTAAGAAGAATTAAAACTCTGGAGGTGTGAAGTTCAGCAGATTTATTGTAAGTCTTGCTACAAGCAACTGCTACTGTCATTGAGTTGCATTATGGGAAATGTAGGCACCATATTTGGACAAGGAGAGGAAAACAAGGAATTAAAAACCATATGTCTGCTTGTTATATAATTTTTCTCATTACACTGCTGTGCTTACTTTTTATAAATGTGTATTAAACAAGACATCTAGTAAATTTCCCTTTGATGGAATGGGACAGCTTGAGTGTACATAAGAGGTGTGGAATGACAAAGATGATGACACTCGTTGGTGTTAAACGTGTTCCACAGACTGATGTCCAGGCTGACGTTAGCCGACCTGAACATCCTGCTTTTCCGCTGTGACGCTGAGGAACAGGAAGATGGTGGAGGCTGCTACGGGATCCCAGGATGGGAGAGCCTCAAATATGCTGGACTACAAGGTAGTTACACACAGTTTCAAATTGAGACACTATACGGTGTTCTATATAGTTTACAGTGTACTATAATAAACTATAATATTTCCTCAAATCAGGATGTGCTAAGTACAATAACATATTAAATAAAAAGGCAAGTACACCTTTATAAAATACATATAAGACAACTACACACCCAAGGTAGTAAAGTTAAGTAGCTGTATTATAACGTCCCGCCTTCTTTGTGGGCCGTTCCGAATGCTTTGAAGTGAAAATATTTCTACTTTTCAGATATGCGCTGGGGAGTTCACTATAGAGGCTAGAGTAGAATGTAGTTTTTAAGCCCCATGTGTCCAACATACGGTTGACAAATCTTAACAAAGACACTGTAGCTGTTGGCGAGTGTTGTACTTTTATCAACACTCACCATCCTTTTCGCTCTATGGATCTTCTATTTGGTGTTCATGCTGAAATCTTGAACAAAAATAAAGTAGCCTGAACATACGTATAGATAAAAGGCAGTCTGTCCTCTAAAAGCGGTGATTGTAATTGAAAAAAAAAAAAAGTGGGAGAAGTGACTGTCTGCCAGAATCATATTCCGTGTGGACACAGGGCCTGAGGTCAGTTGATTTTGTTGCTTCAGGTCTGATATCAGTGCTGGCTGACATCCGTGCCAACAATGACCTGGGCCATCCTGTGTGTGGCAACCTCAGACAAGGGGACTGGCTCATAGACTTTGTCGCCAACAGACTGACACGCAGAGAGGGACAACTGCAACAGGTGAGCAGCCTACAGGGCCACCAATACAAAAAGACACATTTCATTTGTCTCTTCTGGTATTCAGCCTTTCAGATACATTTGGTTTTAAGTGTTCAGGTTTTGAGGAATCCGTCTTTGATTTTATCTCATGAGAGTTGAGCACAATGAAGGTGTAGGGAACAGTATTTACAAGACTTAAAGGTGGGGTAGGTCATTTTGGAGAAACCAACTCGAGTGCGCTAGAATTGGAAAATACACAGCCGGAAAAAATCTGCCACTTCCTTACAGAGCTCCTCCTCCAACACACACGAACGACAACATGACCAATGAAGGCACGAGATAAGTTTGTGCGCAGATAGAAGGCTGACAGGCAGGTAGGCCATCCAGTTATTTTAGCCGGGCCGGCTCAGGGGCCTCATTTATAACGCCGTGCGTAGGATTCACATGGGAAGGTTGCTTACGTAGTAGAAATACAAAAAATAGGTACAGAAATGTTCCGACATTTTCCGATTCACCAAACATTGCGTACCGGCGAGGAAAGTGTGTACAGCACTTCCTACGCCGGTTTCCCTTTATAAATCACAATCGACTCGAAATGCGTTGCAGCTTTTGCGGGGTTCAAGTAACACCCATATTTGCCTATAAATAGTCAAAGAAATGCCCATTCATTCATTCATTTTGACTGACTTTATGAAGAAGATAGCAGGAAATGACGACAGAACAGCTAAAAAAGACATCTCACACCATGTCAGATTTTGGTTATTTTGGGGAGGTGGAGATAAATCATATTGTTTGGTTGATGCAGTTTGAAACAGAGTAGCAGCATGGAGGTCGGATCGTCACCAAAATAAATAAGTGGCCCGAAAAAGGTTCATGACAAAAAAAAGACACATAGCCTTCCTCAGGCAGTGTGTTTGTACCGGGGACAGGAGACACCCCCTTGATGAGAAACTGTAAGAAATGATCAGGGAATCCGTCCGGAGTGGAGTCATGACGACTGGATCTGAATTATGTTTTCGTATTTGGTGGTTTGTGTCCCAGCCGTCGATCAGCTTTGCGCAGCGTCTCCACTGCAGCCTGTGCATCTCAACCCCCCCCTCCGCATCAACTCTATATCCACCAGTTAAAGGAAATACAACTAATGTGTTGTGTTATATTAGCTGTACAATTGACCACATATTGTGTTCTTAGTTTCCATACCCCCTGTGTTTTATGAGCGACTTATCAAGTCTTAGCAAACGGCATAAAACATGATTAAACATGATAGTATATAAAAGCATGCTCGTACAACCTATAGAAATGCTAAACGGCGTCAGTTTAGACGTAATTCTGTCCTCCTGCTTACCGCATCATTTATGAGAAAACATTTCATAACATTAACACAACATATTCGAGGTGGTTTTAAATAACATATCCGTATTTATTTATTTCTCCAAGTTATGTTTTTGTGTGCACTGAGGAGTCTCAAACAGGCGTTTGTTAAATCATTTTAAGATTGGCTTTAATCAATGTTTGAAAATGAATTCTTCATATATGGTAAATGAGAGGTAACATTTTATTTATGGTATTATTCCCACATATTTCTCTCCATTCTTCTTTCTGCCAACGGTGTCGCAGTTTCTCGTCCCTCCCGTTTTGTGCTTAGTGCGTACGCATAGACCTATTCAACTGGCGGCCCGCGGGCCAGGTGCGGCCCAGAACCAACTCCCGAGTGGCCTAGCCTCCCGTTGCCAAATTCCTACACTAGTACAGACCATGAACGGAACACTCCGCGTTGCATAGAAACCACCAAACCACAACGCAGCACGTTTTTTGAAAGTGCATCTAGTGGTGCTAGTAACGGTGGTCCTATGATAGCAACTCTAAAAACATGTCTCTCTCAACTCTGAAGTGTAAACAGAGACAAAACGGT